CAATCAAGAAATTTAATTTTTTTAAATTAAAAAATTCCTTGAAAATTTGAGAACGAATGAAATTTTAACATTCAATATTTGTAGCCAAAATATGCAGCATAGTGGAGTGTGTTAATGTTGTTGATGTGTTAATGTACTTGTTATGTTTGTTCCATTAATTTTTTATACGGAAATAATCATTAGTTTCTCTTTTATATCATATTTGTTGAACTTTTTCATTGATATAATTTGTTTTGAATCCGTTTCAATAAAATAAAGTATTAAAAAATGCATTTGTTATGTTTGTTCCATCCGTTCCACATTATCAATATTTTTTTTTTTTGCTAAACCACATTGTCCACTTTACTATAACCATTTAAACTTTTTTGTTCCTTTTTTAGAATCTGACAATGTGTATGTTTTGTGGTTTCATTTAGTAATTTATGTGTGGCAGTGTGAGTCGTGAGTGCCTTTTGTCTTGTGATGAAGAGCTTTGAAGTCACTCATCCATGACAATTGAAATCTTTATTCATTAATTATGAAAGTCAAGTTAGTGATATTTAATAACAAAAAATATAAGTTCTCAAAGGTAAGCGTCGCCAACGCTCCCTGGCACTCTTTCCGAGGAAGTCGATGTGCTTCTTCGTCCGACGAGTTTTCGGCGAGTGCCCCTAGCATCCTCCATCGACGACGTGTGCGTGAGCTTCCCCCGAGGATTGTCTCCCCGCTGCACTCCACTGCGATGACAACTCAACTTCTGCTCAACTTTGATAGCCATCCGTCGAATACTGGTCCAGCGCCAGTGAACTTATTAATACCGCCGAAGCTACCAGAGCGACCGGATCCACCGGATTTGGCGCGTGAGTACACAAAGCCGCTCCAATTGCTTTCGGGTCTTCAATGCTCCTGCTTACTCACCGCTCCCTCGCCTCCGTCTCTTTCCCCGACGGCACCTTATCAGCAGTTGGCAAGAGTCTCTCCCACGCGCAGATCGATGCCGACGACTCCGCCGTGGTTGCTCTCTCCGTCAATCTCCCTCTCACCGTTCGTAGGTTCTGTTCTGGTGAGGAGATTAACACGGCGCCGACTGACGGATTCCGGTCATCTTCTCCGACGTGGCTTCATTACTCCGGCCACTCACCACCGCCGTCCCTCTCCCTGTTCCACATCTGCTCGAGACTTTCCCCACCTCTCCTCAACACTAAAATTCTAATCGGTTGGGCAATTATGAGTCATAGGCTTTCTGGCCCAATAGGATTAAAAACTTCTGGCTCATACCATGAAAAAGGCCCAACATCAATATCAGATCATGATGCTTATCTACAATTCAAGTATAAGACCACTGATTTATCTCTGCAAAAATCGATTGCCTTTTTTGTCGATTTAGACACATTGTTACGGAGCTCGTTAAAATCAAAGTCCTCCAAATCGAGCCTGGACAGACCAATTCGCCTTCACAGTGCTTCATTTTATCAATCATCTAGATTCAAGTATCTACATATGAGAGGATCAAAATTTTCTGCATTCTCAAATCCTGTAATTTACTCCCGGTGGAAGAGTTCAATTCCACCTTCTTCCAGCTCGTTGAGCATGGTCGTATCTTCTTCCCTCTCATGGAGAGTGGTCAAACCCCAGTGTTTTATGCCGGAAACTTCAAAGTCACAATGTAAAGTGACAAACATGAGAATCTCCGGCTCTGCCGCGAAGACCCTCCTGACACATCCGAGGCATGCTTTGGATTCGCTGTCCATCCTTTGCGATGATCTATTGTTTTATGCTTTATTGCTGTTCAATTATGTTGTACTAATTCTGGAGGATGTTTAATTCCGTTCTTTGTACTTTGATCGTTTAATGGAATGAAGAATTGTTGAAAAAAAAAAAAAAGTTAGTGATATTTTCTACAACAATCACACTCACGAATCACAATATGCAGCAAGCAACTACGCTAATACAAACATTATTTTAGTTGCATATCATTTAGTAATTTATGTGTGACAGTGTGAGTCGTGAGTGACTCGTTATAATAATTTTCTTGTATACATATATGTGTAATTATATTTTCTTTCGGTTTAAAGTATTTTACCATTGTTATCTAGCATTGGCTCTCTACTGTAGAATCTTTCAAATTTATTGAGCGAATTCCAATTTAAAATTTGTAGTAATCATATTAAGGATAAAAGAAAAGTTATTGCTGTTAATTGTTTTTTTTTTTTGAAACTATTGCTATATGTTATTTCAATATTGTAGATAAATCTTTTGAATTTACCACTCTTATTTTACAAAGTGTCGTTTTATAATACTTCTTCTTGTTTTAAACAGATCTTCAGCGT